AGTTGGATAGTGAAAGAGAACAGAAGCAGAAAAAGAAGATGAAGAAGTAAAGAGATGAAATGAAATGATGGGATGCGAGCATTTCTTTCTTCCTCTTTATTTTCTCAGGAAAAGAAGAAGAAAATGAGGAAAGGCAATACTAGGTTTAAGTGGTGAGTAGCCGTTGGGTAATTGATACTGAATGGAAGGCCGTTAGGTACACGTGGCAATTAATTATGTAATATGTGTAGTGTAGCGTGTTTTGGGAGCGTTGGTATACGCGCTAATGAATCACGTTACTTGTTAAGCACGAGATGTCAGTGGTGGTTATTTTTCTTTGCCGTACATCGAAAACGATTAATTAAGTGTTTAATGTTACGAAAACCGGACCGGATCATCCTCAGCGAACGTTCATTTTGGTTCAAAGTTCTCAATTTTATTATTCATCTAAATCCTTAATCTTATTATTGGTAAACGAGAGACTATTAAGTTCTTGGGTTAGAAGAGTTTTGTGATAGAGATCGGTGGCTTGAGGGATGGTGTTGTATTGAATTTTAGACGTTAGAATCAGTTGAAATTTGATTGAAAAAATTAACCTAATATGCAAGTTATGATCGACGAACGGAGGGCTATCAAGCGTCGGGGTTAGATGGATTTTATAGAATGAAGGTCACTGGTTCAAGTGATAATGTTAGATTGAATTTTGACATTAAAATCAACCGAAATTTGATCGAAAAAATCAACTCAATCACAACGATGTTGGCGAGTCACAACCAACAAACAAGGGGCTACTAAGTTCCTAGGTTAGAGGGATTTATAGAGTGGAGGGTGATGATTCAAGTAGTGATGTTAGATTGAATTTTGGCTATCCGAATCAGCCAGAATTTGACTAAAAAAGTCAAAACCCAAACAGATCGCAAAGGTGTATTAGCTAAATTTCAAAGATACGGGATTGAAAAATTTTTCAAAGATATTTTTACGAGATTTCAAATTTTTTAGACCACCGGTTTAATCAGTCAGGCTGATCAAACCGTGAATCGGGCCTTGACAGTGGAAGGTTGTAGTTTGTTTAGGCAGTAAGCAAAGCATGGAGACGGGGATAGGCGGGGCATGAGGACAAAAGAAGAAAGAAGAAGAGTAGGCTGATGGGGCCGTTAATGGTGAAGGGGTCCATAGATTTTGATGAATGACGTAACGCTGTTAGCTAATGAACAACTAAGAGAAAGAGGGTTCCAGTAAGAATTGAAGGAGACAACCTTGTCTCTCTCCTGTCAAACTGATAGCAACATTATCCAATTCCGATACTGCAAGCTAAGCATTTCCTAAGTTTTTGACTTCCGATTCTCTAATAATTTTACCAAACCACACATGGACCTTCAATTTTACACGTCAATTACTCTGCATTTGCATCAAATATCAACACTTCTTCAACAACTTTACCGGTAGATTTAGAGACAGAGACATTTCCAATATTATATAAAATTTCAATGAAATAATTTTTTTAACACTTGAGATTTGAGAATATGAAATATGAAAGTAGAGCCTTTCTTAATTAACAAGGAACAGGTGTTGATTGATTATGTATGGACAAAAATACGGATGCAATAGAATTATGGAATGGTGTGGAAGCCAGCCCAGCTTGACTTCCGACCTAAGTTTAGAAATTAGTAACAAATAACACTTGACAGGTGGGCTCTTTTTAAGCATATACTACGCATTAATATGATTTAAATTTCATTTAATTTAATGTTGGTGTTGGTATAGAATTTTACACCAACCATCCGATCGACCTTACCAGGATCGGAACTGATGTGTGCGTGATTAATGATAATCAGCGATAAATATGAATGAAATGAACTAAAAACAAAGAGATTTTTAAAGTGGTTTAGCACGTTAGAACTTAAGCTTACGTCTACTGTTATCTTATTGTTTTTGAGAGCTTACGAAGAGCAATATAATCCATAGGAAAATTTGCTTAGAAAAATTGTCCAACCTCCTAGAAAACAAGTTATGATGAGTTTATATAACACCCATTTACGTGATAGAGTTTAGATAAGATTTAAATATGTAAGATTAAAAAGTTACATGATCTTCGACTACTTTAGTTAGAATCTAAGTCAATCTAAATATTTTCTTTCAAATTGAGTCAATATAAATATTTTTTCTCCTAATAAGGAATTACCCTCTTCAGATTGACCGCACAACAATTAGATAATATTTTATATATATTAACCACCGTCTATTTAAACTTGTGGATTTTCTTATACATTGTGGGTGCAGTTAGAAAAGTGGGTAGAGCACTTCGGCAATTGGCAACCCATTTGTAGTGATGAAATGACCAATAATTGTATAGGAATAAGATCACCCACTCAAATGGTAAAGTCAGCCATTTCTCAAAAATATATCGGTTGAGACAGTTATAGTAGATTTATTACAGAAATAATAAAGAGGAAATAACAATTTATTAGTGAGTAAAGGTGAAGCAGATGAAATTGAGAAAGAAAAGGTTATATGAAGTCCAACCAAAGAAAACAATGCGGCCCATGGGCCACAATCATGAGGTGATGAGAGTTTTTACTTGAAAGCAAAGTCTCACTGAAATACCCAGAACCTTCATTCATCAGGTATTTGACATGTGTAACTAAATTATCAAATAAAATTATATCAAAGTAATGATGAGATTAAACCTTTTGCATTTAATTAATGGAAGAAGGGGTGGAAGTCGGTGTAAAGACTCTGACAAAATTCCAACTGCCCCTGTCTAAGCAGACCAAGAACACACGGAAACCACGTGCACCCGAATTTAACTCCACTTCCTTTCACATCAGATCCCATCCATCCACTTTCATATATACTAAACCACATGTTCCCACCCAAAGGTATAGCGAAATGGCAAATTCCCACCCGATTTCATAAATTCTAGATTACACCCTATGTAACATCGTTACTGATAGTTGAATTTTGATATAAATATAAAAAGTGTTATTATCAAACTACCCTTAAACCATCCCGTTCCAAACCACCACCACCACAATTAGGTCACCTACAAAGCAATACCCACGAGCCCCCGTCACCTCTCCAAAACAACACCCACCATGAAGCAAATAAACCCAAATCCACACTATCAACACATGCAAGCAGCAGGCACACAAACAACAGTTGATAAGCATGTTGTTGCAGCCTATATTATTGTGAACAAGAACCCTCGAAGATCTACGATTGGTTGCATCGACTCCTTCAAGGGAAACCTAAACCCTCGACAATACATAAATCTTCACCCTTTTCATCATTTGAGCCACTTCCTAGCCTGTTTGTCCAAGATCTAGCTGGATTCGAGCCTTTTTTCAAGGAAAAACTCACTAACACGTGACTGCATCCCAAGCCAAATCGGCATATTTTCAGTGTCGTTGACCTTCCTCGACACCACCAACATATTCCGCTCAGCCCCCTCACCAAAACTCCTACCACCCCACACCTATTTGCCTCACCTTTCGCTAGTCGCCACCCTTGGTTTGATTTGCACACCTCAAGCCTTTTTTATTGATCTTGTCACCGAAAATCATCCCCGACACCACTAATCGCATCATTGACACCTCCTCTCCAAAACCCCCAACAACCTCGACCATGTTTACCCTCCAATCGTCGCCCCTGCTTCCTAGGGTTTCGCTTGAATTATGAATTGAATTTGATTTGATTGATGTTTATGTTTAAAGTTGTTTTATTGTTGATTTGGCGCATTGTGGTTGTTTGATTATTGGGGGTGGAGGATTTTGTGTGATTGGATTGTAATCGCGCTTGGCCACGTGTGATTCAAGCCGAATCACACTTGGCTGAGTGTGATTCTAATCGAACCACATCTAGCCAATTATCTCTAGTTCCTTCTTGTCATTATTGTATAATTCTGATATTTTAATTTCAAATTATAGTAAATAATGATTATACCCTTTTAACTGTTAAAAGAGCCATTATTATATAATTTTGATATTTTAATTTCAAATTATAATAAATAACGATTATACCCTTTTAACTGTTAAAAAAATGAAACAGTATCATTTTAAAGGTGAAAATCTGTAATTTATAAAAATAAGAGGAGAAATCTGTAATTTATGAAACGTGGGAACTTGCCATTCGGCTAAACCTTGGGTGCAAACATGTAATTTACTCTTTCACTGAATTAGGTAGATGATGGGAATAGATTTATGATTAAGGAGAGTAAGATGCACGCAAAAGAAGACAAACTTTATTAATTGAAATGTGCCTACCTTCACATTAACCAAGTGAGAAGAGGATTTGCTTTCATATTGATTTCATAACATTGCTTTGCCTACCTGTCCCATGTTACTTCTGTTTTCTAATTCTCTCAGATCCAATACTCTTCCCCTTTCATATTAATTTTTATCTCACACCCACTCCAAATTCCCATTAATTATCCCAACTTAATTCTCGAGGGTCCTTTTTTACCTTTTTTTTTTTTCAATTCTAAACATAAACATAAACAGAAAGTGAAAGAAAGCACTGGATATGATTCAGGTACTTGACTACTATTACAACAAAAATTATCAACAATCAACAAACCCTACCACTCATAATCATAACTTCCTAATTGAAAAGATGCACTTCAATTATCTCTCCAATTCCATCATTCATTACTCCACTTACCCATTACTACCTAATTATGGTTGAGATTTCAGTGGCTGTGACTGTGTCATCTCCTCCATTCAATTAATGGATATTCAAAATCATAAATAATACTTATTTTCTAATTGTATATTAATTCTCAATAACACATAACAAAGTGAAACGAAGATGAGAAACAATTGTGTCACAATAATTATAGCACAGAAAATCATCATCAATATTTTCAAAATCAGTGAAACAACTTACTTTACTACCATTTCTCAACCCCTTAATTCTTCTTTTAACACTCTTCAACAATTGACAGAACAAAATAATATATGTATTTATATCAAAAAAAAAAAAAAAAAAAAACACCAAACAGAGATAGTTAAAATATAACTAGACTAGAAAGTCCATTTCCAGATCTTGATTCGAAGATCAACCTTACACTTAGATTTATTAGAAGTAGCCACCGATGGCGACTTACCTTTCGGTACTACCCCTTTGAACTCCTCACACGTAACTCTGATTCCAATCTTCTTGCTGTTCAGCTTCCCTGCTTTCACTTTCACTTTAGTGTCCAGCACGATTTTCAAAGGAACCCCACTCTTTTTCTTCAGATCCGATTTCAATGAAGTTACAGAATCCGTATCAAGCTCATTCGACCCAGAAACGATAACGTTCTTGAAAACCGTTTGGTTTTTAGTCGGGGATGTGAAAGCAGGTATAGTACCGTTACCCAAGAAGACGTCGTTGGATGAAAAAAATGAGATATCAAATGGTTCATAAAAGTAAGTGAGATGGGAGTTAGGATTTTTGGAGGTGACAGTGAAGTTGAAGAGAGTAGAGAGATGATTAGAGGAGGAGTCGGAGGTGGTGGTGAGATTGAGTCGGTGGACACGGAGTGAAGGGATGGAGAAAGCGGGGCGTTGAGGGCGGTAGAGGACATAAAGAGCAGTGCCAGCAATTGCTATAATTAGAGCGAGGATAAGGAGGATGAGAATGGTCCAAAAGCAGCAACAACAACAGTAGTTGCGGTGGGTACGGTGTCGTCGGTGGTGGGGTTGCGAACGGTATGGATGGCGAAGGGGTGGCTTGGTGGCGGGTGCGGTGGTGCCATTGGTGGCGGGTTTGGAAGAAGGGAAAACTCTGTCAGACATTATTTGTGATTTGAGTTTAGGAAGAAGATGGGGGAGAAAGAGAAAGATTGTGGATTGTATGTAAAGAGAGTAAGTGGGAGAGAGGTAATCGTCGCCACCCAAAAGGGATGCCTACACCTCACCAAATTTGGAATCTCTCTTCTTCTTCTTTTTTTTTTTTCTTTTTTTTTCCCAGTTTCAGTTTCACTCTTTGCGATGTAATTTCACTTTTTATTAACTTTTATGCCAAGCCAAGTTTCTCATCTCTCGAACACGTACTTAACCTAATTCTTGTTTATTACATCTTGTGAATTGTCAGACAACGTGGGCTCCATCCTTTAGTATAATTTTTTATTAAAATTAGTAAGAGAACCCTGATTTTTACTCTGTTAATCGCTGAACTTTTTGAACGTTTTAAGAGAAAATTAATTTAATTATTGGGATTCAGGAAGTTTTAAGAAAAATAATACCTGCCCCTAGAGAAAGGGCAGGGCAGTATCCCACCGACGACACTCGGTAGTAGTTCGACTGAGTTAATGTCTGTTTTTTTCTTGATAAATAATGGTTTAATGATTCTTAAAATATTATTTTATTATTTATATTTATATTTTAATGATAAAGGGAGAGTAAAATCTCAGTCTAAACTAGTAGGGTTTAAAAAAAGAGGAGATTGATAAATTTTTTGGTGGTTGAAATTGATCAAAATTTAATTGAAGAGAGATAATTACATAAATCTTAATCGTTTGATTGCTAACAATTGACATAATCGATAAAAGTAAGATTTAAGAGGTTTTAATGATGGATAATTGAAAAAGATACTGAAATAATTTGTAGGTGAAAAATATTATTAACCAATTAATTTGATGGAAAAAAGTCGTTTACTCGGTTTGATTTCGTTTCGAATTCGGCAGGTTGGTCAAGGTAATTAGTTAAGTAATCCAAGTCGCCAGGTCGCTAACTTCAACTTGAATCTCAAGTCAATAGATGTTTATGGACTAATAGTGGTTCGTTATTAATTAACGCTGCTATCGAGATTAACGCTGCTATCGAGGTTGGAGGATCTTTTTCCTTCTCTTAATTAATCATTGATTAAGGTCCAATTCAGATTCAAGCTCAAGTGCAACCAACAACTTTCGTCTAATACTTATTGGTCCCCCTCATCATCACAAGTACATAATGTGTAGAGAAATGAAGACTCCCTCATGCTTCATGCACAGGGCACACCGACACCCTCCTAGAAAATTGAGACTGACTGAGTGAGACAGTACAATAAATCCCCACTAAACAAAGTCAAGGAATACCCATTTAACACTCAAAAACAATACGCGTTACATCCATTCTTTTCTACCCACTATTTATTTCCATGAAACTTCCTTCTTCATCGTGTACTAAACCCTTGTTAAAATTCTGTCAATTCCCTGTGATGTGTGCGTGTAATGTATCTTGCTCAACCCTCATATTATGTACCAGTAAAAGTAACAATGCGTTTTATATTTACTCAAATGACGTATTTTAACGTAGATTAAGGATAAGTATTAGGGTAATTTGTAGTTGTAATTGATGGAAAATGGGGTGATGGTTCATTTTTTTTTTTTTAATTAAGGTGTTCAGATCAACGTAACCGCACCTCAATTATTCTTTTGGGATTCTAAAATTAACAATTGGATAAATCCCCTTAGTAATCACCTCTATTTGTGTTTGAGAGAACTCAAATTCAAGAACCTATGTTGAACCTCTTTACTCTTTTACCATTAAGTTATCCAATAGTGATTGTGGTGGTTCTATTGTCATCAACACCTTACTTTGACAGAGGGCAAGGAATAATTTGGTAACCTTCCAAAATTTCCTGATGAAAAGAAAGGCAACACACTTCTACGGTTCTACCTAAGCCAACAAGGCAACAAAAAGAAAACAAGACAGGCAACTGATCTTACATATCTCCATGACAAAGTACTACAACTGAAGACAGCAATGTCATAGTCACTACACAATGAACACAAACAGAAACAAGACACTTCTAATCAACATCGATTTTCTGTCATTTAATCCACTGGAAATGATGCGCACATATAGCCATCTTCATTACCCACCTGATAGTAGTTATATTGATTTGTAAGCATCAAAACACTATTATATAAAGTTCACATCATGGATATCCGAAGTTGATTTCCAGTTATTCTACATTTTGGTTGACTAAAGCAAAGCTTAAATCAGATTCTGATGATATTTACACCATCAATGATTACGGTGGAACACAGCATGTTTTAGCCATGCCATGCACATGCTCTTGCATGTGAATAAAGCAATGCCTTTCTTTACTTGACAGAAGTAGCAAGCATAATATACCTCAATAATATAATTATCCGTTATGCCGCTATAATAAAATATTATCCAGAGCAAACAGCATACATGTGAAGACATGCTATGTAAAAATGTTTGACAAACATATGGCATTTAAAATTGATACTTTTTGTTCTCATACTTCCCTCGGATGCCTGGATAATTATGAAAATTGCTACTGCAAATTTCAAGCAGTATTGCACCCCTTTGCGATGTTTGGACCAACAGCATAGGGTGAGCATTGAACATCTCAACACATGGAGAATAAGGTTAAGGACATCCATGTTCATGGCCTGTGCTCTGTTCTCATACTTCTACCATGCCAAGACTTGTACAATCACTAAGGTTGGAGCAATCACAGGGCCCTCACCTGCTAGCATGGAAGCGAATTTACATGGCAAACATTCATTTAACACAATAATATAAAACAAGCAACACGTCCAGAATATTTGCCTCGAAATGGCAGAGTCTTGTAAGCCGGTAGTAAAACTACCATATGAAAGACAGATCATCCCAAAAAAATATAATAATAATAAGAGAGGATACAACCAACAGATTCTACTTCGTTCTTCACTAAGTAATTTGAGTTTTGGTACAAAATAGAGGTTACATCAGAATCTAAATCTTCACTGGTAAACAAAATCTATTATGAATAACCTGTTGCTTCCCACGAATGATTTCCTTGTATATGCTGGGGCACCTGATAACTATCGCAATGGGAATGCCTTCTTTTCTCAACTTCATGGACGCTCTTTAGAGTCACCTAATCTGTTATAATCCTCAGACAAATAAGAATAAAGAAAATTCTTCACCTCTCCTCTTAAGGTATAAGGAAGTATACACAGTGAAACAGGCACACACATAATACAATATACATGTAAATCAAATGAATTCTAGATTCTAGAATATAATTTCCCCATATGGTTTAAAAATGAACTGAGATTCTCAAATACCTTTGAAATCTTGTATTTCTAAACAAGAGCATGATTGAAAGCAGAACAGGGACAACTGCCGAGCACAAATGCTCCATGGAATGTCCGCTGATAATGTAATGATTTGCATGATATATTTTCCTGTCAGCGACAGCTTCAAATCTTGCTAGGAGTTGAACTCCTGCAGCAGAGAATGCATGACTAATAAATTAAAAGCAAAATAAAAATTTCCCAATGTTTATAACTATCTTAATACTTTCAAATTATGCATCTGTGGACAAACTAATGGACTGATATAATTACGTTTAAGAAAGTAAAATAAAGAAAACATAGTGGAAACAAAAATATCATCAATGGATCTTCTAAACTCTTTCGACTACTTGATCCACATCAGTAAATTCCTCTCATGGTTTAGTTGTGTCTGAAAAATGATACATATCTTGTGAACTTCACAGAAATGAACATCGGTTCAAAGAAAAGTTCAAAGTGGGAATGTTTGGATAACTCTGAATCTTCCAAAGATAGCTTTGATCTTCAACTCAATCAAAATTCCCTCACAGGTAGAGGTACAACAAATTCAAGATCAAACCTTGCTCAAGCCTTATAGATCAAACCTTGCTCAAGCCTTATAAATGACACAACCCATTTAATTATATTTGGACCACAAATGTTTGCACTAACCATAAAAGGAACTGAAGTCAGCTTTAACAAAAGATCTCTTCTTTGACATATAGAATAAAACAAATTTAAATAAACAAATCAAGGACGTGAAATACCTGCTGCATAGAGCCAATATCTTGAGTGAGTATATTTGGGTGGGAACAAAAATGCCATAGCCGGAATGGCTATGCATGGAATCAGCTGGAACGTCATGCACAACCGAAAATCATTAAATGTTCTGCAACCAACTAGCAACACTTTTCAACAGAACCCTTATGAATATTTCAGCAAACAAGTCCCAAAGCAGATATACAAAGTGATTAGCAAAAAATCTAGAATCGAGAAGCTAACCTTGCATAAATCATACTAAGAAAAGCAACTGAAATGAGTGCAATCAAACAACTTAGTCCAATCTTCTCCCCCACTCTCTCAACAAGAAAACTTGAGAACAGGGAGGAATATGCTATCATTATCTGCAATTAGAAATGCACAAGAAAACAACATCCAAAGAGTAAAATTAAAATAAAAAACAATGCCTCCAATTGTTATTGAGCAAACTTCTATCACTTTAACTTTTAAAGAATTTAAAAAATAATTTCATGCAGTCACATAATGCAAACTTGTGAGAAAAGCATAGTGTTACAACCTTCAAAAACCGTAATTAACTATTAAATGCAGAGAAAAAATTCTTGTTTTATAATTCCTTTCGTTCCCCTACATAAGTAATATCAAGATTCAAAATAAGCATCTTAATAGAGAGATATACAATGGAATTGTAGTTCTAACCGGCAAGTTGTCCCACATTGCCCTATCATCATCAGGCATAAGATGATAATAAACAGAACCAAACGCCACAGCTGCTATTCCTGCATAGAATAGAGCCCAACCCCAAACCTCTCCTCGGCAACTGTAACCAAACCCATTTCCAGACACAACAACCATAAAAACAAAATCCATCAACACCATCACAAAGTTCAACTGAAAACACTCTAAACAAAACGAAACCAATATAAAATATAAACCTGATGTTAAAAAAGCTTCCTTGGAGAGTGAGAACAAACCCCATAACACCCACAATCAAAAAGGGAAAATTTGTGATCACATTCAAGGTGTTAGGCACTCCTGTCAGATACCCAGATATCAAAATAACATCAACTACAAGAAAAGAGATTATGCATTTGTAGATAAAGAGAATAGATAAAGTACCAAGAAAATTGCGCATATCAGCAAAAAGGTGGTGTTCTGGGTAAAAAGAGAACTTTGGAGTAATCAAGATGAAGAAGAGCCAACAAAGAAATACTCCTCCCCATAAACGAGTTTTCTTTCCTCTACCAAGCTGTTGTTTGACCATTAACACCATTTCTCTTTGCTTTCTCAAGTAACTTTACTTTCGTCTATTTTAAAACTACTCTCAAGTCTCGGCGTGTTTTGGCTCTCTGTGTCTCTGCATTTCTTCTTTTACTTTTTTCTTCGCTTTCCTGAGACTCCCAATGTCCTTTTGCAAACTTTTTTTTCATTTTTTTGTGGGTTGATGATGTCTACGAGGTCATTAGTTTTGTTAGGATGTTTGTTTTTTTCGTGAAACGACGTTGTTTTGTTGTTGACAGCACGTGAAAGTGTCATTGTGGACCATTGTTTTTGGTACATGATTTGTCAAAGATTATTTTATTCGTGTTTCTAGGATAAAATTAGTAATATATTATTAATTGAAGCATTTTTGTTAATACATTCTCTTTTAATTCCTTAATTACCATGATAACATTTATTACTTACTATGAATATTAAACAAATGATTCAAGAATTAGGATATGATTATTTATATTGAATTGTTATTTTAGGTACTTATTTTGTAAATTATAATTTGCAGTAAGGCGTGTCCACATCAACCTTAAGGGGCTGGTTTGACAATTAATGAAGTTTGCTCATTTCCATGAATTCCTAAGTTTAAATCTTGGGGTCATTTATCATAATAACATTATGGTTTATATTAGGGGTGTTCGGTTCTGGGTATCCTACACTTTTTGAAGAAATCAGAACCGGAACCGGAACCGGAATCGACGGTTCCTTAAAATTTGGAAGCAGAACCGAAACCGACGGTTCTGCTTCCTATGTACCCAGAACCAGAACCTATAACAATGATTCCGGTTCCGATTCTGGGTACCCTATAAAATTCATAACCCCCCAAAAATTTTTAAAATAGCAAAAAAACCTTTAAAAACTTACAAATAACCCCCACCTGGCACTAGTTAACAAAAATAAAATTGCAAATTATAAATTCAAAATTACAAACTCCATTACTTTGTAAAGGTAGATTCTCAAAAGTCAAACCAACTTACTTTAAATGTTATAAAATATAAATATAAATATATTCACATTACTTTTTCTACAGAAGTTTTTATTAACCCTCCTAATATTTAATTTTATTTTATATTAGTCTCGGTTCCTGGTTCTGGTTCCAAAAATTTGGAACCGAAACCTATCCATTGACGATTGGTCCCGGGTAGAAACCAGAACCAAACCTAGGGTACCCGTCGGTTCTGGTTCCAACCGGTTCTTTTGAACACCCGTAAATTATATGATCTTTTGGACTTGTTGAATGTTTAATAGACTCCAAGAATTAGTTAAGGTATGCATAAACTGGTTCAAACACCCCAATTACAAAAAAAAAAAAACAAAAAAAAAATGTCCACATCCTCATACAAAGACCCAAGTCCTCGTATCATCTTCCATTAAAATGACAACAGTATAATGATAAATATGTCAAGAATACGATATGGGTGACTGACACTTGATTATTATTCTAAACATATCATCAACTATCATCTTATTGTGATTCAAGAGATAATATAAGGCTACAAATGTAATGGCATATATGCACTCCCTTTGCGGCTGAATCATAATCATCAGAAATAAAATGTTAAACCATTATTCATTTGATGACCTAATATTTGGTATCTATCACAAGTAAGAGTAATACTATACATACATAATTTTTATACAACATTTTTCATACAATATTATGTGGCAAAATATAATTGGCTAATTTAAAGTTAAAATTAAACTTTCACCAAATCATATCTTGTCACATAATATTATATGAGAATGATGTATGTGTAATATTATTCCACAAGTAAAGCTTCTTATGGCATTTTAATATAGCTACCCAATTACAAAAGCCACCGCAATTATACATCCATCCTCTTTGATTCAATGTTTCCCCTATTATAAAGCCCAACTATATAGTTTATTTAAGAGTAAACTATTTTTTTCCCATCCAAATAATGGTCTAATAACACTATCCCACCCATAGACATTTAAAATACCACTTTACTATCCAAATTATAATTTCGTTAGTAAACTTCGTTGTAAAAAAGGGTAGGCATCACCCCTATTCGTTTGCACCACCAATCGTTGGCCCCTCTCGCTCCGGCACCTAATTTCTCACCAATGAACAGAAGCAATCGAAAAAACGGTCGTTGACAGGAGGAAAAGCTATTGCAGGCGCACACACAACGCAGCTACACACTGGGGCGTGCTAAGTGGAGCAATTTGTCAAGCACTTAGTGTAAGCCGACAAAAGAGTGCAAAATGGTTGTCATCGGCAATGGAAATAGCCCAGAAAACCAACAAAATCAATTGTCAAACATTCAATAAGTCCAAACAATCTATAAAAAAAGAAAAAAAAATCAAATTGAAGCCAATTTCACTGGAAAATAAAAACCCAGTCACGATGGTGGAGGCGAGTTCGACAGACAATTGACAAGCTAATAGGTGACGGGGTTTGGGGGGTTTTGTAGTTTGAATGGTGGTGTTGGATTGGATTTTGGTTGTCATTAGCCACTGGAGTTTTGCTTAGAATAGTGAAACCCTAACAAGGCGGTGGCCAACGAATGGTGGGAGAAGAGGCTTGGGATTGTTGGGGGTTTTGGTCTATAGAGGATTGGGAAGCTGGTGGAGGGATTGAATAAAGCCAACAATGCTGTATTTCGACCAAAATAGGCCAGAGAAAGGGACCCGTGCGGCTGGAAAAAAATAATCGCGAACTCCACTATCATCCTTGACTTCAAATGATTAAGGAGTGATTGTGGGTGGGGGTGAGAAGGGTTTCAGTGGAGGGATGCCGGTGAGTTGAATGATAGTGACGTGGTCGATTTCTAGTGCTAGAATCGGCCAAAATTTGGGCTAAGGCATACGAAATTTTGATTTGCGATGAACGACGATCAGGGGTTGATCTTTGGTGCAGATATTTTCGTCTTCACAATTAATATCAATGTGATAATGAAAATTATTGATATAATATAATATTTAGATAATAAAATGGTATTTTAAAAGTTGGTGAAAAAGTATAATTAGGCCATTATTTAGGCCTTTGGGTGGGAAAAAGTTGTTTACTCTTTATTCAATTTCAAAGGTTAGCATTAACAGTTGGGTTGACATAGCAATAGCATTTTCCTACCTCTTTTAAATGTTACTTGTTTAAAATGACATTGATACGCACCAACATCACCATTTCACTATGTCCCATTTGTTTTTTAATAATAAATCCACTATTTGATTCCTCTCACTCTCTGACCTGTCCTATCTTACATGCACCATAGATTTGGTATTAATGCTTACTACCCTAACAAAATCACCCACGTGCTTCACACCAAACCACCTGCAAATACGGATAATACATCATGCGCCAACTACCATACTGCCCTCTATTTTTACCGTATCTAACGTAATATACATGGGTATTTCTGTAACTCTATCCACTTCTCCACCTCCAATCCAATGGGCATTTCAGTAATACAAGCTTCTGCAACTGCAAGTATCCCCTACTTCCATGGACATGCAACAGAAACATCCCCAAAATTACCAAAATGTCCTCAACCCCACAGCCAAGTATACGAGTATTCAGAAATGAGACTAGAAATAGCAGTGGCATAATTTTGAACAAAATGTTCATCAACATAAGCAGTAGATCTGCAGTTACATCCCAAGAAATAAACTCCTGAAATTTTAATTTAAACAAAAAAATTAATTAACAAAACCCACCCTCACATAACCAAGCCATAGCTAGTTTAATTTTCACTTCCTCTAGTGATCATCTCCTTGTACCTTATAATGGAATCAATCCTCTGCAACTTCAACTGCTGCTTAAACTTGTAGATAAAATCATCAGCTTTAGCATCCACTTCATCATCAACCACTTGTGTCGCTTTAGCTTTTCCTTCTTTAGTAGTTGCAGGCCTACGAGTCTCGACAATGTCTTCTTCTTCAAAGTGAGAAAAGGCCGACTTTGTACTCGCAGACTTCTTCATTTTCTTTGGTAGCTTCTTCGGTATCTCTCCTCCCACTGGTTTGGTATCAGATTTGGTTCTGCTTACGTGGCTGCCCTTCGGTTGTCCATATACCTCATCAAGATCAGGACTCTCTTCTTCATTTTCAATGTACTCGTCTCCTTCATTTCCTCCTTCTTCTTGTGGTTCTTGGTGATGCACATTTTCTTGTTGATGGGTATCTTCTTCTTGGGTTTTGGGCGAAGGAGAGGATTCTTGAGACAAATAGTTGTAGAGGTTAATGGACTTGAGCCTCTGTAACAAAGGAGATCCAGTAGTGGACTGAGGTGGTTGATGCTGGTGTTGCTCAGGTTCATGAGTGAGATTATGATAAGTGAAATGGGAGTCCATACCTGGAGTCTGAGTGAAGCTGGTGTTGGGTTCGGGGGATCTGTAAGTGTAAAAGTTGATAGATTTGAGTCTTTGCAACACAGATGGAGATCTAGCGAATTGGTGGGGTTGTGGGTGGTCTTGTTGTTTGTGTTGGTCATTGCCTTTGTGGGAATTAGCCAAGCTAGTAGTGATGAAAATGGTTCCAATCATGAGGTTGAGGAACAAAAAAAGAACAGTGGGAGTGAACCAACTGTTCATGGAAGCCCAAATTGAGGGTATAAAAGATACAGATTGTTCAAACATGGCTGTCGGTACTGGAGAGAAGCGGAGAGAAGAAGAAGGGGAATGGAGTTAGAAGAAGAGAAAAAGGGTTTTCAATGGGTGGGATATTTTGGTTTCATATTTTAGTATCTCGAGAGACACGTGTTGCAACATGATGGGTAAATCACAAATAGACAAAACACTATAGGTGGTTGTGAGTTAATATGAGGTTGTAGTTGCATCCAGCAAAGGCTGCTGAGCGGGGACTGTGCCAATTACAACGACACCGTTTTAGCATCTCCCGGTTTTTGTTTAACATTTTGAACCGTTCAAATAAATCAATTGAAAGACAATGTGCAGATAATATGTCAGTACTCTTAATTAATAACAAAGCTCATAGGTGCGGGAAGGTTGCATCACTTAATCTTATATTACTTTCAACATTATTGAAAATTATTATAAAAATATATTTGGTTGATTGATACATATATTATATTAATATGTTTGGTTAAAGTATCTTTAAGTCAGTATTATTTTGGGTTAGAAATGACTAAAATAACATGAATTTTACTACAATACAACGTCATTTTTTGCACTAATTTGGTGTTTTGCTACAGTATTACATCAAATTTGGTGTAGCGTTGTTCATGCACACTAATTTGGCATGATATTGTTTAAATAGTAAAGTTTTTTTTGTTATTTGTATTTAAGTTAATTTGTTGAATTTGTCGTAGATTAAAATATTCGATTTTAAAATTTTCTTGCTTGATATAGACAAATCAAGGATACAGAAGCTCACCATGCTTTTCGAAATGCATTAATTGATCACTTGTAGCAAGAATATACTAATTCGGAAAATTAAATTATTATCAATATAGAATTTAACTTTTGTGTTGTTGTCGTTTTTTTTTTTTTGGTATCATTTTACATTATATGTAATATTTTTCTATATTAAATATAATCTTTATTTGATTAAATAAATGCTTAATTTTATTAAATTAGTATAATTTTTAAAGTAATTATTATTTAATAAAAATATCATTCTCTATATTTAATTAATATATATAAAAATAATGAGTGAAATAGATTAATTGTTGATTATTACAATAAAAGAAAAAGAAAAAGAATATTTTAAGCAATATTTTTTTGTGTGCAATTTTTGTTGCAGTGTGTTAGAAATGTAATAGTATTTCACCAAAAATCACACCAATCTAGTGCAATGAGTTGGAGATGGTCTTACAGGGAATAAATTGGTGGGTATGTTATTTAAATTACTAAATTGCCCTCTTTTTAAATGTTAATATAATATTATTTTTATTATTAATTTTTGAATAATTTTTTAACCCTCAATATTTCAGATTTAGCTAAAACACCCCCGCTTATATAAAACTTTAATTTATGACAAAATCTCCCCTACCCCCCTGCCACAGCCTACCGCCACGGCAAACCACTGTCGAAAGTCTCTGAAATTCATCGTGAGTAGCTCATCGTGACCATGAGGCCTTGATATGGTAGTTTCTAGCCATATTGATGGCCGAAAACGGCCATATCAAGCCAATTCTCACCATTTTCGGCTATATCGAAGCCTTCCGGAGCCTCCCAATGAATCTCGGTCATTTTTAGGGACTCCGCAATGGTCCGTGGTGGTTGGCCCATTGTCGACAGTGGTGGCTGGGTGGCGGTGGTAGTATGTAATTTGTTTTAAATACAAGGATATTATTATCCAAAAACTTAATTAAACAAGGGTAAAACTAAAATAGTATATTAATATAAATTTATTTTAAAACAGAGGCATTATTGTCCAAAATTTTTATTAATAAGGGATAAATTTGTAACAAAAATAAGATTACCAAAGTAATCTTACAATACCTGAGAAAATAAAGGTAATCAGATTACCTCAAATATTATCAACAATAACAACTATTAGTAATGCAAGATTACCATAATCTTAGATTACTTGACAACCAAACATAGTAATCAAGTTATATAAGATGACATAACCCGAATAATCTTTATTACCTACAACCAAACTCTCCCTTAATGTTGTCAGATAATAATAACCATAATTTCTATGTTATATTTAACAATCTAACGAATTAGGCATGGCAATGGGCCTTGCCCTCGTATGGGGTAGGAATTCCCCACTTTTTTCGGGGATAGGTGTAACGCCCCACTTGAGGTACGTCGTTAAGATTCGCTGTATTGCTTAAATGTTTATTGGTTCAGCTTCAAGTAAGTTTATATGTTGTTATTTTTGTTTGGTTGGTCCTTGGTTGAATGAATGTATTGGTTTGGTTGAGTGGTTGCCTTGAAAATTATGAAGACTTGGCGAAATTTTGGGGTTACAGGCTTCACCGGGGTGAAGAATAAGCTTTGCCGCGGCAAAGAGGTGCTATAACCCATAGAGTAGCTGCTAGAGTGTTTCGCCGCGGCGACGGATTTGTCTTCGCCGCGGCAACGGGTCGGCTGAAAAGTGTTATTAAGTTTTAGATATTTTCTTCTTAAGGGCAATTTGACCATTCTATCCCTAATTAGCAGGAAAAGTGGGGAGTAAAATGTAAGAAATTTTCATGGAGAATATGTTAGTATGGGGGTGTGATTGTAAGGAATCAAAGGATATGGATGGAATTTCTAAGAAAGAGCAAGGGCAAAATAGGGATGTTTGTGTATAAGTTGAGCTAAAAAGGGTTAAGTGTAGAGAACCCTTCATTTCATCCATTTCCACCGCCTCTTCCATTCACTATTTTCCTCTCAAATTTCCTTCAATCTTCCAAGGATTTCTAAGGACTTTTTGAGTAGTTTTTTTTTTTAGAAGTTTAATCTAAAGCATCCTAAGGTAAGGATTCTTGCTTTAGATGAGAATTTTCTTATGTTTTGGCTAGAGACTTACGTTGTTGTGTTGTTTAAAGTTGTAGAGAAGAGACAAGATTCAAAAGGGAAGGAAAAGTGCTAAAAAAGCCATTTTCCTCACAAAGTAAGTAAACCCAACCCAAGTGAGATTTAAGAACTCCTTTGAGTAGAGATTTATGTATGAATGTGTATTTATATCAATTGAGATGAGATGGATGCTATTTATGCTTGTTGTTGCATATACTTAAATATGAGAAGTGTTGAGATTGCTTGATGTTGGGTTGAGTTTGATTGAAGTGGAATGAAGTTTTGAGCAAATTTATAGAAGTGTTTTCCTTTGACAAGGAAATTAGAGAGTATAAGGGAGCCTCTCTCCCATTTTGGATGATTAAAGAAAAAAAAAAATTATAGTTAAAGTAGAGCTTTATATGCGCATGAGTTGTATGATGAAATGCTTAAGAGAAGCATGAGTAAGAGTAGAAAGCCTAAATTTTTGCTACATGGCATAATTGCATCTCATAAGTGCATTAATTAGCATGAGTTATCTATATGCATTAATTATGCACTAGAGAAAAGATAAGAGAGTAGAGAAAGAGTAGATAAATTGAGTATAAGCTACTCTAAAAGTAAAGAGAAAGAGAGAGAATGAGCACTAGAGATCAAAGAGAAAGTAGTGCTAGACAAGAGAATAGAGTAGGTTGTGCGATGGGGAACCCGTGAGTAATGGGTAGAGTATTCCCGCATGTACGCCGCATTGAGAGAGCGGCATGAGTATGAGAGAGAAGTGGTGTAGCCCGTGAGAGTGCATGCGGATGAGGGCTATACCCGAGTTTACCCGAGAGAGAGATTATGTACTCACATGGCCAAGAGTTCCGAATCTATGCATAACCGAGTCCGATCGGCTAGAATTGAGTAGAAGTCACAGAGAGTGGGAGCGAGTCCCAACCGTGGCTCCGATAAGATGGGGCCGTGACTTACTAAAAAGAGTTTGTAGAAATGAATTTTAAGAAAGAGAAACAAAGAGAGAGAAACCGAAAGAGAAAGCAGAGAGAGTAAACGAGAATTGTAAGGAAAGAATTGAAGAGAAAGAGTTGTGGGGATAGATGAGTAGAGGATTTACTTACTAAGCATTGTTTTGTACTCACCCAGTTATTTCCTATGTTTTTGCAGGATCTAGGTGAGGACACTGTCGGATAGATGTCGGCAAGCGAGGGGAAATGGCTACACTGTCCACCTTATTGTTCATAGTTTTGTATATGATATGAGTTTTGTACAAAGAATGTATATGTTTAATAAAAGAAAAATTTGGGCCCAACTTTTTATGCTATTTTACATGTATTTTACTATGCATATTTTATGAGAATACGAGTAGAAAGCAGTCATTACATTTTTGGTATCAGAGCAAAAATTTTGGGATTTGACAGTGTACCATTCTCGTCGCTACGATGTCCGAGAGCCGACTGTGTAAGTTAATTCTTTCCTTACGTTAAGTGTTCTCTTGAATTGATCAAGTGTGGTCGTTTTGTAGATGAGACGTAGTAATCGGAAGAAGGGTAAGAGTGTGATGAACGAGGGAGAACCCTCTAACCCACTAGAGCCAACTCCCCCTACTCTTGATGAGACGATGATCTGAAACGTAGTACAACAGGTGTTAGCTGAGAGTCAGGGGAGAGTTGTACCGAAAAGATTTGAGACCCCTAGAAGAGGACCGATTGCAAGACAAGAGTGAGAAGGGCCGGTACCTCAGACAGTACAGAGTCGGGTTGATCCGATTCAGGGGCTTGCAAGCCAGCACCAGCCGCCAGAGTTTAGGGGTACTAGGGACCCGTTAGAAGCAGAAGAGTGGTTTAAGTCTGTAGAGCGGATGATGGCTTTGCTTCCCATGAATGATAGAGAGAGGATCATATATGCTAGTTTCTTATTGCGGGGAGATGCCCGGATTTGGTGGGAACTAATAGAAGAGACTCATGACTTGGCTCTGATGACTTGGGAAGAATTTGGAGGTTGTTTGAGGCTGAGTATCGAACAGAAGATCGGGTGCACGAGAAAGTCCAAGAGTTTATTAATTTGAAGCAGGGGACTAGTACGGTGAAAGAATATTCAGTAAGATTCAACTCCCTTGCTCGATTCGTACCCGGAATAGTGTACACTCCATTGTTAATGAGGGACAAGTTTGTGCAAGGGTTGAGATCGATATTGCCTAAGATGTGATGACAGGAGCCGAGCCTCCTCATACCTACATTGAGGCTTTG